CATTAGCCAGCCGATTATATTATATCGGCTGGCTTAGCCGGCTAAGCCGCCTTAGCCGCGGCTGCCCCAGCCGGCTTGTAACACTACATTTCAGTTATTCGGATATACTGATTTTTGGAGCCAATAAGGATTCTAAAATATATCAGCCAATCATCACTTAAATGCTATCACGTATTACGTGGTTCTTCAGTCTCGAAGCTCAATCTTAAGAATAAATGTCTGATTTAACAAAGGTTATTTAATCTTTCTCTCTCCTCTCTGTTTTTTATATAGTGCTTGTTTAAACACTGGACTGTGGTTTATTTGTAGGGCTCGGTTTTTTTTCTACCAAAAAAGCCAGCACCTACGAAACATGCTGGTAGAAAGAAAGGTTGGAAGATTTACGCTTATATATTGTCTAATATCTGTTTCATAAAATGTTTACCAATTTATTTTTTATCAATATTTCCGGAATTAAGCTCGTGTTTCTTCTCCAGAACGCGTTCCCTTTGAGCCTCTTCTAGAAGGTCAGGAATCTTCAAAAGCAACACAAACTAGGTATGATGATTATATTAAAGCCATTCAATGTTTAGAGAAGAAGATTGAGGTATGAAATATTAAAAATTCTTTCATTGACGCAAATGGATAAAATTTTATAGTAATGAAAATCGAATTTTGTTCAGAATTTTTTATTAACGGTTAACGAATCGGCTATCTCCGACCTTTGTAATTTTGTGAAAACTGCATATAATAAAGGTGAAAATAGTAGATTGTAAGTGTAGCTTTAAATGAACAAGGTGATAATGTTGGCGAATCATTAATTAATGAACTTTTTGTTGTAGTAATCCGCCTAATCGTTTTTATGCGCTCCCGACAGCTTTAGTGTTTACAGGCAAATATCTTTTTTAACTGGCTTGAAATAAATTCATTATATGTTCAATTAAAAGATTGCGATTATAATAGGCATTGATAAAGAGGAAAATACAAAATTTTTCAAATGTGTCTCCCAAAAATTGCAGCAAACCAATCAGAATCACATCGTATTTCTTAATTCAATGGATTGTACTGACTTGAAACGAACAGAGAAGCAAGTAGTTAGGCAATTTTTTGGTAGGGAGGCAATTGATGAAGACAGTGACAATGACGATTGTAGTGACGAATGCCAGGAAGACTGTCAAGAAGATGATGTATATTTATTTCACTTTCAGCTTAATTTATTATTAAATGCAATAAATGATCACGCTTTGTCTTGATTAAAATTAGGATGTTTCTATTTGTTCTATCGACCCAATTGAGGATATTGTGAGTAAAATTTCTAATAGTCGCATATTTTATTCGCCTGAGGTTTTTCGATAAAGTATTGTTATATGTTTTTTGTATGTTAAGGTTGATATGAATACTTTGGCTCAATGGTATGAGTATAATTATCAAATTAAAGATGGTAATATATTAGCTTTTTTCCGTTCAATGGGCTATAAAAAAAATCATTTTTAAGACGCTTAAACGCATCTCAGGCCTCAAACCTTTATCGAAGCTGATTATCATAATTCAAGATTTTGAGTGTTTTATACCAGAAGTCTTAGAAAACTTTATATATATGTGCAGGTATTTCTTTTCTGACAATTGTTGTATAGCCAAATCAATACCGAGATTATGATTTATGCTTTTCTTTTGGTATACCAATAGTCATTATCAAGATAGAATTCCAACTATATTGATGTTAGGAATAACCACTTGTATTCGTGGTATCGACCCACTTCACGAAAATTACTCATATTCAGTAGTGCGCTTGTTAAAACCTGTGGCGTTCTATTTGCAGACACAAAAAGCCCGTTGCGATGACCTTGTATCTCAAGTTAGTTTTTTTTTTTCTCGAGATAGATATTTCGTATTATTAACTTTTTTTATTCAATTCATAAGTGTTTGATAGAAGATGCCCAATTTATGAAAGTCGGTGAAAAAACATACGAATTTCTGCTTGATATGTTTATTGGAAGAAAGTTTTCGTTGTCATTATTCATATCGAGTTTGAAGGTTTATTCAGATTTATTTATCAAATGTTTTACTATTCGAAAGGTATATATATCTATATATAACATATAATTATTATTACATTGTTTAGTATACATTGATGCACTATTTTTATACAAATCCGTTGAGTATATTGACAACTATTGAACCAGAAGCTATTCATCCGAGGCTTGACTTGCTAAACGAAAATCATGTAGAAATGATACGAATGCAGATTTCATTTAGAGAGTAAGCAATTATCTAAGATGATGCGTTATTTATATGTTCACCTCGCTAATTGTCTTTTATATATTAAAAAAAAAAAATCCTAGGTATGTGGAATCCAAACTTCATCAGCCAGCTGAGGCGCGTCAGCTATTGTGCGATGATTACTATGTAAAATCCCTTTTACCCACTTTCAGTCAAAATATGGCAACATATCATCAAAGATTTGCTATTGCACTGGAATTTGTAATTTTTCTCCAAGAGTTCCTTCGAGAATGTTCGAATTATGATGTAAAAAAGTTAAAATCGAGGTATGAGTTATATTCCATCGCATTAAAAAAGCCTGGGCTCGGTGAAAATGAGTACATCCAAATATTGCTGGATGATTTGATGTGAGTATGATCTTTAATTCCGGCTATGCAAATGTAATTTATATATCTCAAGGCTATTAAAAAATAATCATTTTTTGTTACAGAAAGATAGATCCAAAACAAATTGGAGAGTTACTTCAAATCTTTGTTTCTTTACTTAAGAATGTATTTGATCATGTGGATAATATTAAACAAGAATATGAGGATTTTTACCAATTTTTGATTCGATCAAAGGAGATTGAAAACGATTTAACCAGGCCTTCCGCGTCGACTCGCTCCGCAGCAACAAAAATGAAAAATAAAGAATTCACCATTCTACAAAAGATCGAAAAGATCGGCGACGATTACAAACAATTAGTTATCGATGTTGTAAATTATTTGTCAATATTTTTTGAGTAAGCATCTTCATCTCAGCTTTTCAATGTTATTTGCTTTATCTAATTTGTTTTTTTTTTTTTTTTTCTCAGTGAAAACTTGCGACATTATTCCACCAATACCCTATTTGAAATTTTTTATTACCAGGAAGATATATCCATTCTTGAATGTGTAAGAACATTAATTATTTCTACATATTTATTCCGATATATGTGCATAAGATCATACTAATTAGCTCCATGAAATAGGCATTCGTACCAAAAATACGATCAGCAATTCATGCTGCTCTCGGACTTTCTACCGAATATATAAATTGTAACTGTTGTATGATCGATTCGGACGATGAAAGTAATGAGAAAAATGACGATGATTGGGATTCTAGAGAGCAAATTCTTTCAACGCATAATGATACTTCTATCCTATACAAATTACATTTACAATGTGGTAAATTGATTAACGTTCGAGATTGGCTGGATTCTTTTGAAAATGTAATATCTAAAGAAAATTTAGAAAATAGAAAACCTAATGAAAAGGAGGTTGTGTAAGTATTTCCGGTTTAATACCCCGATCACTATTCAAGATCACGGGAGTATTAATTAATAATACCCTGACCGTATGTGAATTAGCGGGACTTTCAGCCCCGCTAATACCCAACGGATCAGGATATTATTATTACAAATCAACTGATCTTACATTTTATGTTAATCTAATTTTTCATATAAATATTTAGGGCAAGATTTATAAAAGGATTTGAAGAACTTAAATTAATTGGCATAATCGGATCCACAAGCAGAAAAACAGATCATTTTAAAAGACTATCATGGGGCAAATTATAACATTTGACATTTTCTTGATTATGAGATTGCGATTCAACCTTTTTTTTTTGATCTACGACATTACTAATAGTTAATTTGAGACTATAACCCAAACCTGAATATATGACCCATTTTCGATCAAATTGGTAATAAATAATATAATATTATGCATTCAATAGTGTTATATTAAAAAATTCTACATGAGTAAATATTAATGCAGCTCAAGATTTGCTGAATAAGAACGATTAAAATTAGACTGAGTAGATAACTGATAATTAAACACATACAGTTTAGCTAGAATTAACACTAACAATTTCTCAAGTTGAAACTAGATTTAACAAGGCTACCACATTTAGTCATTATGTAAATTAATTTTTCTGAAACATTAAAGTTCGTGGGCACTCGTCGATCAATCATATTTTATTCTGGGATATTATCGCGCTTTTCAAATGCTGCAATCGCCATAAAGTTCGTTGGCATTATTAGATCGATAGCATCACCATTTAAAAAAACGGTATCATTCTATTGTACGGGACGTTAGTCGTGATTTTCTCGGCTCGATCAGGTGTGCATAGATATAACTGGAAATGTACTTCGCGCTAAATGACAAACTATCGCACCCGCGATCTTTTCGCGTCTTCGCGAGATAAGGGAACTTCCACTTATAATGTAAATATAGCCCCCCTAGAGTCAGTCGTAGGGACCTGCACGGGCCTAAAAATTTAAGCTTTTGCCGGCCCGCTTGGCCCGCAAAATAAAATTTATTATGTTTTTTAAAAATTTGGCCCGCTTTTTACTATGTTTTTACCTCACTAGGCCCGCAATTTTGAGAGGTTTTTAAAATTTTTAAATTTTGGCCCGGCCCGTGCAGGCCTCTAGTCAGTCGTTTGACACAATCATTTGGCAATTACAAGTTCTAAAATAATCAATCGTTTGACAATTACAAGTTAACGCTCTTTTTAACGCTCTAATCAAGTTGTCTTATTTTCGTGTTACACTTCCTAGTATTGTACGCTTTTTTAACTAAGATTTACTTCCGTATTTATCAAAAAAATTCAATATAAAAGGAAATAAGGGTTTCACCAAATTGAAACGGTTTTATATACTCTTCTCTCACTATTGCTCATGCTTATACTATGCTGTGCGTGCTTTTATGCTCATGCTCATGCTTCCCCGCTTCATCTTTCTACGCTCAGAATAACAGGTATATTTATTTAAATTAATTTTTTTGTATGACTCCTTTTTTTAGCAACACATATCATCACACAACTTCTTAAAATCTTAATCAATCTATAGAATTTAAAGAGATCCAAATTTCATGTTTAAAATTACCAAATATAGTAGGACCCCGAGCTATTAGTATATAGGTTACAAGAAGTTAAAATTTTTTTATAATACCTCTAAGCATGAATTTTTACT